GGGGCCACCTCTGCCGGTGCTGCAAGGCCAAGTGGCCGTGGGGTCGCCTCCTTCGGTGCTGGCAGGTCGGGCGGCCTTGGGGTCGCCCCTGTCAGTTCTGGCAGTCCTGGTGGCCGCGGGATTTCATCTGTCGGTGCTGGCAGGCCGGACAGGCCGTGCGGCCGTGGGGTCGCCTCCTTCGGTGCTGGCAGGTCAGGCTACCTTGGGGTCGCCCCTGTCGGTGCTGGGAGGTCGGGCAGGCCGGGCGGCCACGTTGTCGGCTGTCGCCCCCGTTGGTGCTGGGAGGTCGGGAAGCCTGGCGGCCTTTGTATCGCCTCTTCTGGTGCTGGCAGGTCGGGCAAGCCGGGCGGCCGTGGGGTCACCTCTGCCGATGCTGGCGGGTCAGGCGGCCGTGGGGTCGTCTTTGCCGGTGCTGGCAGGCCGGGCGGGCGTGGGCTCAACTCTGCCGGTGCTGGCAGGCCGGGCGGGCGTGGGGCCGTTGGGTCGCCTATGCTGGTGCTGGCAGGTCGGGCGGCCTTGGGGTCGCCCCTGTCGATGCTGGCAGGTCAGGAGGCCTTGGGGTCTCGCCCCTGTCGGTGCTGGCAGGTCGGGCAAGCCGGGCGGCCGTGGGGTCACCTCTGCCGGTGCTGCAAGGCCCTGTGGCCAAGTGGTCGCCTCCTTCGGTGCTGGCAGGTCGGGCGGCCGTGGGGTCGCCCCTGTCGGGGCTGTCAGACCGGGCAAGCCGGGCGGCCATATGGTCAGCTCTGCCGGTGCTGGCTGGCCGGGCGGCCATGTGGGGTTGGGTCGCCTCTCTTAACCCGCGCCCTGCTGGGGGGGGGTGTTTGAACACCCCCCCTTGTGGTTTTTCGCGAATATCTCAAAAACGGCGGCGCGGAGCGCCGCCGTTTTTGGTACACCTTATTATACATCAATTCTACACATGTTGTGAAAATTTCAGACCAAGGTCATTCAAGGTCAGGTCACCAGGTCACTTGAAGTGACCTCACCTCATAAAAAGTTTCAATGTCTGTCATAGCTACACCGAGTGACCGATCGCTTTGAAACTTTCAGCGATTGCTAAGAGCAATAGCATGTACGAAATGTATATCTCAGAATTTTGATACCGATGACCTAAGGTCAGGTCAATTTTGCGACCTCCCCATTATAAGTCAATGGGAGAAAATTGAAATGCGCCTCTTTTGGACGAAAGACATTATAAACACTCCCAAGCACTGAATTACAAGTGGTTTAGACACACTGAACATGAAAATGGTGTCCGTGACCCCTGTTTATGCCCTGAGGTCATCTTAGGTCACGAATGGTATTTAACAGTTTTTCGCAAATAACTTTTGATAGAGGCATGCTAGAGCGATGAAAACGCCTTAGATGTGTTCAGCTCGACGATACGGATCGACTGATATGCAACATGACCCTTTCCGGTCAGGTCATGACCTTGACCTGAGGTGAAATTTTCAAGTTGACCTTTAAAGTCAAAGTTATAGTTCATTCGATGCGTCTTGACGAGAGGAACACGATGCCGGTAAAAGTAAGCTCGTACAAGGCTTGGGTCAAAAGTTATTGCAGAAAAACTGTTTCCGAAAAAATCGGCTATTTTTGCAGTTTTTGCCCCCTGCAGGCAAAACCGTTGACGTTAGGTCAAATCTGAGGGAGTTACTCAGAAAGGGCGTTAATAGGGCTATCGAATGCGCTTTTCCGCGGCGCTGTAGCTCTATCAGGGGCGGATCCAGAAAATCTCCAAGGGAGGGGCCATTAGAAACCAGGAGGCCCCCATATGTTGGAGGCCCCATCTTCCCACTTGTTGGGCCCCCCCCCCCAAAAAAAAACTGCGTCTATTGAGCTTATCTAGCTGTTCAGGCAACATCTCAACATGAATAGCCACTTTATTTTCAGGAGGCCCCCTTTTCAGCTTTTTAACTTTTTATTTTATTTTTGAAAAAAATCGGCCAAGGGGGGGGGCCATGGCCCCCATGGCCCCCCCCCCCTTGTATCCGCGCCTGAGCTCTATTGGTTCCCGAGTTATGCGTTGGCTTCTTGGAAATTGTTGACATTCGACCTGGAAATCGGCGAAATTTTGCCTTCAATGACCTCTGGTGACCTGACCTTTGACCTGACCAAAAAATTGACCGAAGTGATTTCCTCATTATTTTTTACGCTCTTTCGAACGCCGCCTTCCGCGTATCGCTACGTGGCCCAGGAGCCGAGTTAGAAGGGGGGGTGTTCAAACACCCCCCCCAGCAGGGCGTGGAAATCCAGGACCCCCAGCCGGGCGCGGGTTAATGCTGGGATGTCGAAATGCAGATCCCGCCCCTGATTGTCCTATTTCACCAGAACTCGCTCGACTCTACTCCTGATTTCACATTTTCCTTTAGCTGCACGTGGACTTTTGTTCCGTATTTTTTGTTATCGTTTCAGTTCTAAACCTCTTCAGAGACCAATGCTGCTCCTAAGCCGCAATTTGCACACGCTTCTGATAGAGTTCACAGCGAGCATGCACCACAATAAATAAAGTAAACTATTTGATATCGCTCGCGTGGCCTTGGTCCAGGGTATGGCATGGCACCCCATACCTATACCTAATATTTCAAGTTGGTGGTTTTGAACTTTGGTTGCTTTTATCTTACAGTTTTCCTCCATTCAAACGCCCGGATACCTACTAGAAGATATTGGTGAAACATAGAAAGGCGGCAAACGCTAGCAAGAAGGGCTGAATATATTTTTAATGCAAATTTTCCTGGCAAAATTAAACTTCTACCAAGTGTTATGCACTCACCTGAAAGGCAAAAAAGCGCAAGTGCGTAAAAGTCAGCGCGGTGATAAGCAAGAAAAGCGCAACTACTTAGTTGCGCTTTTCTTGCCTATCACATCGTCCTGACCGCTGCAGATACGCTTTTTTTAATAGCTGCGTTTGTAGTTACGCTTTTTTTGCTTGCGGTCAGGGAGGATGAAAAACATTTACGCTTTTCTCGAAAAAGAAAATTTGATATAACTCGAAAAATTATACGAATTTCGAAAAACGGTTTTGCAGAAAGATGGAGATTGCTATTCTCTATCTAATGGTATCAAAATCTCAAAATCGAAAAAATGCGAGTTACGCTTTTCTTGGTTGTCACGGCAGTATAGCTTACAGGCTGCATGGAACAGCTGTTTGTACTTTGTGTCACATGAATATGATGTGTATTGTGTAACTGTGTTAGACACCTTGTATTGTATCATGCCAATATGCTTTGTCCCTATATGATGGGATGTTAAATAAATTGATTGATTGATTGATTGATAACAGTTAAATGGATGTAGGTCCCCCCACCCACACTCCACACTGGGGACCTCCGCGAAGTCCGCTGAGGCACAGTACTCTGCAGTCTGCGGACCGCCCAATGTCATCTTTCCGCGGGTGTTCAGACTCCCACCTGTCCCAGAGCTCGGAGATGTCGTTGAAGCGCTGCTCGCTGAGCTCATCGTCCTCCTTAAGCCGCTCCTGGCGCTGTTTGAGACTGAGCTCCGTGTTGGCGCGGTGGTCGGCCTCGCGGCCCTGGAAGGCCACCGGCACGTTGGTCACCATCTCCAGGCCGTCGTCCTCGAGCTTCTCCAGCTTCTGACCGCTCTCTGCCAGCTGCCGCTCCACCAGCGGCACCTCGACAGGGGCCGAGCCAAGGCCCAGTCTGTGAGGGGTGGGGGGTGGCAGGTCAGAGGTCGCAGAGGCGACAGAAGACGGGGTCATAGCGTCTTAAAAACAGAGCCGACATGCAGTCCGCCCGGCTGCTTATAAACTCATCCCAGTCCATCCATCCAGCTAGCATTGACTGACCATTCATAATCGTACGCATTTAGTCACAAACACCTCGCTTTACACGCTCGCCTACCGAGCTCCGCCCTGCTCCTACTCACTGTGCCAGCTGCTCCTGGCGCCGCACGCTCTCCTTGAAGCGCTGGATGCGCAGCCGGCGCGCGTTGATGCGCACGGTGGTGTCCTCCGACTCCAGGTCGGCCGCCATGCTGTTCTTGAAGGCCTCCTCGTCCATCTTATTCCCGCGGTCAGCCATCTCGGTAAACTGCCAGCGGCCGATGACGTCAGGGGTGGAGTGGACAGGAGCAAGGGGGCTTCATATTTTGGGATCAGGGTCAAACTGGGAGGGGTGACTGGGAGGGGAGGGTCACGACATTAACCGGTGTTGAAGCACAGACAATCGAATAAGAGTCGTTAACAGCCCAGATTAGGACCACGGGAGGCTCTCGGTCGTATCACCAGCGGCATTTCAAGCGAAATGCACTTTGTGGGAGCTATTGCGAAGCACTGTTCCAATACGTTGGTTAGGTTTACAATATGCGAGACAAGTAGGTTATCTATATCAATCGCTCCAGAAATAAAACAAGGTAGCCCCACCTGAGGTAAAGTTCACACTCACCTAAGTTCGTAAAATATTCGTGATGCAGCAGATCGTTCGGAGGGCTGACTGCTCCTCAGATATCGTTTTGTTCAAGGGTTTCGTTGATAATCTTCGATGTCTGTCGTTTAAATCAGTTCACAGTCGCTCGCTACTTTGATAACTCAGCTCATATTTGAGGTCGTCTCGTACGTTACATTCGCTCTCAGTTTCGGTCGTACAGGTTCAAAAGCGTAGCATACTACTCGCATTGATAACACAGGCGAGGTGTTGTCATGGTAACCAGAGGGGGCGCTCCGGCAACCTGTTGCTTCCCCACCTGCCGGCGGCGAAACTGTACCCCTCACAACAGCAAAAATATCGATCGCCGTGCGCAAGAAGCGTGCAGTGGGGTTCAGGGCACCTACCGTTATCAGAAACTGGTGAAATCGCTCGTTCGACGTTCAAGCACGTCACATCACCGCCTAACGGACAGATGTCTGTGTTTCGGCTTACCCGCCGACCTCATCACCTAGAATACCATGTTTACGATCAAATGTTGGCCTCCATAAATGCGAAAAACCCAGTACCTACTCATGTCACGCTAAATTGTTCTATGCAGCAGCATCAAACATGATGTAAAACAGCCGTTATTTTATTGAAAACGACTAGCAACTTTCCATTCGCTGATCAATAATCACGTCTTCGCCTAGACGCGAGATACGCCGTCTCAAAACAAAATTGAAACAAATTCCATCTCGAAGGACACTGAGGGCACAACCCTGGAGTCCCGGCAGCCGGCGCCCGCCGTCCATTTACCTACCACTCGCTCTTTGGCCAGCTCACAGCGAAACCACACGTGAGTCACCGTCTCACCTACCGCTCACAAAACTCACCGCTCTCACCACTGTGAGAGGCATCACACTGCCGCCAGCGGCCACAGCCCCGAGCCACACGGGAATCACCTGCCTGAACCACGCTAGAATCACTGTCCCTTGCCGAGTCACAGACTGGCTACACAAGCCGGGGACCTCGCTCTCTCCCCGCGACTGGAGCCGCCGAGGCTGTCCACACAATCCAAGGACCACACTCTCACCAAAACACGGTCACGGACACGATCCCGTTGTGATGCACACACTGTGCTGGTATTGTGACTGTGCCGCCACCCGAGGCTCCAGGGAAGCTGTGGACGGGTGGAACCCTGCCGTCGGAGCCCGATTCACGGTAAGAGTTACGTGTGAGTCACGGTATACGCGTTATGGAGGACTGAGACTGAGACGAGCCACCCCACGGGCGGAGGTAGGCGTTGAGCTGGCGCCGACGAGTACGGCGGGGAGGGGACCTCCGAAAACAGAGGTCGGTTGGCTGGCCGGACGGAGAGATCTGTACTGGAGTGGCTTGTACTGTATCCACGCAGCTATTGTCGCGTTTGTAGAGGAAAGACTGAGCTCCGGAGCGGTTCACCAACTATCTACTCGGCATCTGTCCCATGGCAAGGCCGTGACGAAACATACTGCATCCATCTCAACCAAATTAAACCTTATCACAACTTGCGGCTGTCGGCATAGCCAACACACACCTTCCCAGAACCCACCTAACTCGGGAAAAATAGATCGAGTGAAAGTATCCTAAAGCGGCAAAGCCAGGTAAAGGCAAAGGCTAGCCTGATGGCAGTCAAAAACAGGTAGCCATGCTAATGCAGTCGGTGAACCTCAGAGGACCTTAAATCTGACCGCGTAACAAGCAAGCAAAACTAACAGCAACTACATAAATAGACAGGAAATGAGTATTCTAAAAACAAAAATAGTGAACGCTTATCTGTCAAACGTTCTGCAACTACAGAGGAAACCGGCAAGGCTCTGCCCCAATGCCCGTCAATAAATACCCACTCGCACGTCATTATTCTTAGCCCGATATCATCTACTCATCTACGACCGCGGCGGGACGTGAGAGGCTGCTCCTCGGTTCCCATCGTGGCACGGTGTCGCGGCGGACCGGTCTAATTCTTCCTAATGTAGACGATAGCGGCCACACAGACCAGTCCCGCGGCGGCTATTTTGAGTCCCAGGTAGAGGTACTCGGCCGACTGGCGCAGCACGACACCCTGGGGATGAGACACAAACACCGGTCAAGTGAGGTATACGTCCAGTGGAGGTCGATACAGCACGGTGATCGGTTAACAGTAAGAGTAGCACAATTAGCCCATCATTCCACAAACACGATCGATCAGCGTTCACTTGCTATCGCTGAACGACGTTCACCCGTCAAAAGCTCACCCACCAGGGCCAGTCAGTCAGGCGCTCACGCCACCATGACTCACTATCTCACCCTCCCTCCCGAATCAGTCTTCACTCACCCATCCGCCGGCCTCCTGTACCAGCGTGCAGACCCGCTCCACGATATAGCGCAGGCTCCACTCGATCAAACGGCGCAGGTGGGCCCAGGCGTGCCGGCGGATTGTGCTCACCACGCAGTCCGAGAGGAAGAAGAACAGCACCAGGATTCGCTCCTGGGTGACGCCCGCCTCTCCCTGGCGAAACGACAGACGGGATATGAGCTGACGGAAATGGACAGAGGCCGGACGGGGCAGACGATGGGCTGGCAGTCCAACATTACAGCACAGAAACACCGAAAACGGCGAAAGCACAAAGGCACTACCCGCTATCTACTATTCTTCGCGGTGGAGTCCAAAAGTTGTGCTTACTGTTGTGTTAACAGCCGTCAGTCTTTAGCCCCACTGGCCCCGTACCGTACGGTGATACCGTGTTCGTGTGTGATACCGGGACGGTATCACATACCAACAAAATGACCGCTTGTTGTTGCTATACGTCATCACAAAGTCGAGCCCGTAAAGATGTAATATTTACAATAAAAAATCCATCCAGAGTCACATGCTTAGCACCCTCAGCCCGAACTCGCCGGGCCGTACCGAGAACAGTTCTTCGAGCAGCTGTCGGAAGCGGTCCCACGAGATGGCCGTCAGGTCGGTCTGCTGCGCCTTACAGCGCAGCTCGCGACGCTGGTGGGAGGTGGCGAACGCGTCGGCCAGCGCGCGCAGCTCGGTGCCCGTCTGCGCCCACACCGGGTTACTGAGGCCCGGCAGCGACATGATCCTGAAACGGACCGGGAGAAGTCGTCAGAAAAACGCCTCTTACCAGGGCTCGCAGTGGAACGCGAGTGTGTTAAGAAATATAAGACCAGAATCCAACGAGGCCTATAACTTCCCAGTCACACACAGAACAGAGACAGTACGGTATTGATACGCAAATGGCAGGCCCATTTTAATTTCAGCTACATAAAAAAGCAAGTGTGCATATCCATACAACCCAGCCTTTAAGCTTAGAATCGTTTGCACTTTTGTGCTGCGTTCCCGGCCCATTACGCACCTGTTGATGGTATCGTCGTTCTGCGCCTCCAGCGCCAGCTCCGCCTCGGGGATGCCCTCCTCGACGATGCGGTCGTGGACGAACTCGAGGAAGAGCTCGCGACCCTCGTCGTTGGTCTGGTCCGGCGTGGGCGTCGGCTGTACCAGCGGGAACGGCGACCTGGCCGGCGGGGGACCGTCAGATGGCGGCCGGCAGACACATCTCCGCGCCAGAGGCAAGCTGGCACTCAGGAGCGGCGCTTGCGATATTCCTATCGTGCTTAGGACACTAGCTATGGTCTTCTAAACCTCGCACTTGTTCAGGATCACATTGACCAGCCTCAACAGCTTTGAAGCAACTCATCAAAACTGCTTTGTTGTTCCGGATTACAACGGCCATAATCTAACAATCTTACATAAGTATTATATCCCGTAAGTGTCATGGTCCTGACCCCAATGATCTGTGACCTGGTGGTAGTGTCAGGTCAAGTCAGGTCACCGGTCCGTCGGATCGGGTCCATCACTGGCCCGAGCAGCCGTCCGGCGCCGCTGGTCGGCTCCTAGTTCAAGAGGTCAGGTCAGGTCGGGTCCGTCACCCACCTGAGCAGTCGTCCGGCGCCGCTGGTCGGCTCCTGGTCCGGGTGGTTGGGTCAGGTTGGGTCAGGCAGGGTCAGGTCAGGTCGGGTCCGTCACCCACCTGAGCAGTCGTCCGGCGCCGCTGGTCGGCTCCTGGTCCGAGTGGCGGCGCTGCTGCTGCAGCTCGTCGGGCGCCGGCAGCCGGTCCCATATACTGTCCCGGCGCTCCATCGGACCCCGCCGAGCGCCGCCGCCGCCGCCAGCCGCCGCCAGCTCCGGCTCACAGTCGCCCACGGCCCGCTGAGCCAGCAGCGTGGAGCCGGCCCTGCACGGAGGAGACTGGTCAGCTGTGCGGCCGGGTCGACAGAGGGGCAGCGAGGGTGAAGTGTGGGGTAGAAGGTCATCATATGCATTATACCGTCGGCGCGACAAAAAAAAATGTCGCAAGAAGAATTTCCCGACGACTTCCAGCGACTTTCCTAAGGAACATATCCTATAGTCTTCATAGGAGTTAGAACTTAGGTGCTCTTACACAAGCGTAGGTCAAGGGAAGAGGATATAAAATTATGGTGTGTCTATAATGGCGTCACCCTAATAACCAGTATAACGCCTTTTGGGGCGACTAACGGAGCGAGCGAGAGGGTGAGCCTTGCACGTGCGAAATTTCGAGGGGGTACCTCCAACTGACTTGTGCACGGCACCCTACTAACCGGTCTCTAGCGATGTGCCAAATTTGATCACAATCGGCCCAGCCGTTCTCGAGATCTGAAACTGGCACCCTGCACGTGCGCACGTGCAAAATGGGTCCCATCTGGCTTTTGCACGGCACCCTACTAACTGGTCCCTAACTGTGTACCAAATTTGAGCGCCATCGGTCCGGCCGTTCTCGAGATCTGGAAACGACCCCTGCACATGCGCACGTGCAGCAGCACCCCAACTCTGGCACATGGATATGCATTGCCTAGTGGGTGCCTACCTACATGCCAACTTTTAGCGCAGTCGGCCAAGAAGTTACCGAGATATTGCAACTATTACAAAACTGACACCTCTTCGTTTTGCACGTGGCACGTGCATAAGGGGTCACCCACATGCATCGGGAATAGTCCAATCACTACTGTACTACTGTTATCTGTGGTCCAATACTTGGTAGAAGGAATGAAGCTACCCTACAAAAATTACCGCGTGTAAATCGGTCAAGTGGTTGCTGAGATATAAGCCTCGCAAAAGCGTCCGCACGGCCGGCCGGCCGCTCATACTCAGAATTCAGAAATTTCCGTTAATCTAAGGAAAGGCTACGCTCGCTTCGCTCGCTCCGTAAAAAAGGACGGTATGGGCAATAGACATGCATGCTGAAGGTACCAGCTCAGTCGACGCCACGCATTACTACACCACGCCCCAAACTCCACTACGCAAAGGTAATCTGCAATCAAACTAATGCATTTCATCCACGCAACCAAAACATTCCGTTAGTTATAAACGCACTTGGGAACTAGAGATAGGCCGGCCTACGCAAGCCCCGCCACATCCTGTTAGTGCTCCAACAAAACAGGACCTCTCCCGGTCCGCAATCAGTGCTGAGTATCAGTCACACCCATCTATGGTGAACGATTGGCGAGTGGGTATTAACGATCGGTCTGAGCCCTATTCTGCACAAAAGATCAGCTAACCTAACCTAACTGAACAACTTTAGCTATAAAACTTAATGACCACAGTCCACAAGTCGATGACGAAAAATATGAAGTAGGTAACTGCCTTGTCCCCGGAAATCTGCCGCGGTCAATACGATCAGCACCCCTACCGGCTAGAGCTTATTCTCGTAGCGCACAGAAAGGGTAACGTCCACTGCATCCGCCCCGAATAATGCATGTGCCACTTGTGCCTCATTTACGACACAGCCCGTGAGGTATTGATTACCATGCTAGCAACGCGTCGAGGGATCGCTTAGCATATATGTAGCCGGGAGAGGAAATCAGTCCATTTCTAAATCTATACCGGAGGAGAACCCGAGATTCGAGGGCGCACAAAGAAATGACTGGATGAGCTAGCTATCGCTGTCCCAGGGCCAGATGATATACAGGACCAAAGAAACCGCATTAGGAAGTGTCAGGACATTCGAAACACAGATAGCTGCAGGCTGCAGCCAGCAGCTGAAATGACCCACTGCAAATGGAAAGGAAAACTTATCTGTTACTGCTAATGTTTATTTCATACTACCGTTTTGCAAACATGTCTGATAAATCAGTTTGTTGAGATGAACAGACATAACATTAACTTGGCAGTGCACCGATAGAGCATCTCTAATCGTCTAATCGATAGAGTATCTCTAGTCAACTCCTCACCATTCATACCTAAATGAGAAACACTGCACGTGATGAGCAATGGGCATCACATTTCTCTAGTCATTCGTTCCGCGTCTTAGTGACGATCATTACCGCCCTCTGAGACACGCCTTCTTTACATTAGATTAAATACCTAGATGTGATTCACTCAACATTCCCATTATGGGTGCTGACCTGCTGGCTATCTAGGGAGATACGTCAGGGTGACGTGTAGCTGCGGTACTCACCCTGCGCCGCCGGTGCCCGGGATGAACACCCTCAGGTCGGAGGGCGAGCCGCGCCGCTGGGCCAGCGATCCCACCGGCCAGCCGTCGCCGCGCTCCCGTGGCCTCACGGACGGCGTGTCGTCGGCCTCCACCACCACGGGAACCTCGCGGGCCGACAGCCGGAACGGGTTCGTCTCCGGAAAGTCCGGGTACGGACTTACCGCCTTCTCCTGCGGCTCCGGCGGCATCATCATCTCCAGCTTCGTCTCCAGCTCCACGATGGCCATGCGGTCCGGCTCGTCGGTCTCGGCGGCCGGCGGGTCCGCCTTGGCGCCGTCGCCGGCCGCCCCGTCCTGACTGTTGTCGGCGGCCGCGTGGGACATCGCCGAGCTCTGCACCGCCGAGTCCTGGAAGCCTTTGGCGTTACGCCCCGTCTCCGGCATGGCTCTCGGGGGAGCTAGGACCCGGCCGGCGAGACACGATTCCGCCGACACACCGTCAGCGGTGCCCAGCAGACGCTCCGACCGCGCACAGTTCGACACACGCGGCACACCACAGCACGTGCAATGGGTATCGCGCAGCGTCAGTGTCCCACTACACTAGCCTTGGCCGATTCTGCCGGCCGGCTGCCGGCCACGCCACACGACTACGGAAACTCCCTGCAGCGGGGCGGGGCGGGGCGGGGCGGGCAACCCTCCGACCGCCAGGTGCCGACTGGCTCACTCTGCGCGCGCGACACTCGATCCGCTGGTGACGTCACGATGAGTCAGCGCCGAGACGGCCGACCGCGGGTGGTCGCAATCTGAAACCGAGCCGAGCCGTCCGTCAAGACCCGCCGATCATACCCACCGCCACTGACACGCTCCGGTAGCAAAGCACAAAGTGAAGTACCTAATAGCGAGATAACGCACGACTGGTGCGAAGGATGGCTGGCCGGTAAGTGTTACAGATAAGTCCTACGAGGATGGGAAAGCTTGGAGATACACCGGGCCCGGAAACATGCAAACCACAGATATTGATGCCTAACAGAGCTCTCTGATAGCTTGGATAATTACAGTCATTCCTGACAAAAACATTCAGTCTTCTAATACCCCACGGAGGAGGGGGATGGGCCGATTCGTCCCCGCCGTTTGTCATATTAACGGAGATCGGCGAAAAAGAGCGTCACAGACTACAGAGCGTCCTGATAGTTGACCTTGAGGGTCAGGTTGAGTCCGCTCAAAACAGTAAGTTGGCCCACGGTCGTGTTGCATATCATTCGACTTGGCAGTTAATTCTGTGCTTACTGCTGCCATACCTGTATCAATAACTCAATTTAATCAGCATTATTGACTCGATTAGCTGCTCCGGTCACGAATTCAGTGCTCCAGAGTTACGAGAAGGACGCATGGTCCACTAGGCCATATCGAGGACAAATACAAGATTCCAGGACCAAAACAGTCAAGATTGGTTCTAAAATCTCATCTAACAGCTAGAGGAAGAACCAGGAAGGAAAAGGGGAGCTAGGAGAGATGCCAAAAAGCAGAGGTGGGCATCGCTACCGGAATTTGGAAACCGCTATCACTACCTTCCGCAACCTGAGGTACCAAAGCGCAATCGCAACTCCGCAACTCCACCTCTATAAGGTACCCATGTTTTATCAGTTTTGGTCCTGAAAAGCAGTGCTATGTCTGATAGGCCTGGCAGTACCTTTTGAAGGTCAACAGAGGTCAGCAAAGTGAAAATAATCTCGGTTTTCCCGGATTTCGACAATTTTCAGCTTCAGACGCTCTAACGCAAGAACCAGAAGAGCTAGAGCGGCACGGAAAAATAAACGACTGCCCATTTACAGCACTGTCTGGACTGGAGTACAACGTCAGATTTGACCTCAGGTCAACGGTTTGGCCTCCAATCCAAGGGTCAAGAATTGCCAAAATAGCCAATATTTACGAAACTAGTTTTTTCGGCCACAGGTCTAACATCGGACATAATAACTCGCCAATAACTTTATCACCATAGCATTTCTCTCATCAAGGCGCGTCGTTTTGAGGTCATCAATAATATAAAAGATGGTCTCGAAAGGTCAAATTGAATATTTGACCTGAGGTCAAGGTCACGACCTGGTCCATAAAGGTTATGTTGCATATCAATTGATAACTCTTAACGAGATAAACACAATAACCTCAACTAGTGGAGCCTGTATCTCGCTTCAATCGTTAGCTCGGTGGTGGCCCTGGTTGCGCTTTAGAATTTTTCGTTTCTGCATCTCGCAACTCCGCAACTTTTTTGGGCTCGATAGCCGATCTGTAACTCCGCTACCAAGAGGGTAATCCGCAAGTTGCGGAGTTGCGGACATAGTTGCGCAATGCCCAGCTCTCCCAAAAACCATAGCAAATGAGAAAGTACAGAGAGAAAGAAGGCATATAAAGCAGACAGATTTTACATTGGTTAACAGACATAACAGCATGATATAAATATTATCTCAGACATATCAATCTGAATCAGCCACCTGTTAGGCATGAGTGCTCACCAAGTATTGACTGGTTCATCTGACCAAAATTTAGAAAAAAAATAAATAGGGGATATTGAGGCTGGATCCTGGAGGCTCTTTCCAGAAAAAAAACAAACACCAAGGTCTGGGAAAGTAACAACACAGTAGAAGAGCCAGACCAATTGCTTTCACTGAGTGCAATTACTTTTCTAAGAGCAGTGGAGCAGACTGATAAGTAGGTACTTGACAGCATAGTCAACATGGCTTAGAAAACATTAAGAAGCCATGAACATCATGAATCGACAGTTACAGAAACTCTTGGGAACATTATTGGCCAAACAGAGGACCATCTGTAAATAACATAAGATAATTGAACCTATGAACTTCCAACAATTAACCCAAACTAAGATATTTACTACCAAGAAAATGCTGAAAAGGCATAAAAAACAAAAACATTTAACCTCTTTGTTAATAATGGAAGCCATTGTTGCATTTAGCATCATTTGATCAATGAATCAGCTCTATTGTAACTAGCAATGGGGCATGCCCCTGTTAGCAATTCTGATTTTATTAATGTTCTTTTGGGACCTGTCTACTTGTCCTACAGAATGGTTCTGCTCCCTCTGCTAATTGTGGTATGAACTCCACTCCACTCCACACCTACTACTAGGTACCTACTTCACACTGTCATTCCCAACAGTGCTACCAGGAGTTAAGTATGCTCTTGCCACGGTTGCAGAAATTAGGAGGTTAAGAAGGAGGCATCCTGAAAGTAAGGCAAAGAGTAGGTATCACCCAATCAACTAATAGTCGTGCTTGCATAACATTTTTGAGAGGCTCCAGCTCATTTATTTTGCTATAATTCTGATGCAGTGATCTTTGTATATTTAGAGGGGATTATTTTATAAAACGTACAGCACCACTGGCATCTTTCGCAACATACTGGGCGGAGCTATAAGCTTGCAACAAAACCTATGTAAACGCAGCTAATGAAAACTGATAACAAATAGGTACACAAGAAAAATTAAGAATATGTACAATTAAACAGCATGAGAGCACGTCAATTTGGAACCCTGAGCTCTGTTCGCCCGCTGCTGTCAAAACAGCTTCCCCAACAGCCCACTAGGTGGCTACTGTGTTGAAGAGATAGGACTGTGCTGTTGACCAATGAGAGGCCGAGAAACGCACGCAGGCTGCTGACGTAGGCTGCCGTGCGCTTACTATGGGCAACCACAAAAGTGAGATATTTCTTCTTTTGATGGGGCTACAAAGTGATCTAAAACGCAGACAAAAAAGTTACCGACACTACAAAACCACTGCCACCATCCATACGCTGGCTGATGGACGAGATTGTTGCCTAGCAACGGAGACCACGTGAATTTGTCCAATAGGAGCTCGAGTCGCGCCAGCAGTGTGTGACGTAGGCTGCTGTTATTACCGCAGAGTTCGTGCGGTCGCTGTGGGCCAACCGCAGCGAAGGCGCGGCCGATTTGGGCGCGCCCCGCGCCGCTGTCACGCGTGCGCCAAACAAGCTGAGCAATGTCCCTTTTGATTGTCGCTTAGCAGCGGAGACCACGGTCACGACGTACTTTTGGCGTACATTTGTCTGCAGCCCCATCCGTTAGCTGCGTAGGTTTCATGAAAGTAATCTTGGGTTTCATGGCTCGACGCTAGTGACCTCTATATTGAACTTCATCAACGCGCTAGCGACATCTCGCAGGAGCCAAAAGGACTTGGCATTATGCAGTGAATCATTCAAACTTTGCAAATCATTGGCAACTTTGCCGAGAACATAGGCGGCGGAATGGGGAGGGCACCGGGGCACCGTGCCCCCTTTGATTTGGACATTTTTACATTAGCCCTATGGGCGTTGCATGGAAAGAATTTAGAATGGGACCAAAAGTCGGCAGTGCCCCCCCCCCCCCCTTAATTGAAGGTGTTCCGCCGCTACTGGCCGAGAACGCCGATGTTCCTTTCGCACCGGGCGTCGGTTCATCACAGGTGTTGGTAGGGCTCGAATGGCACAGTCAAATAGCACAGCCATTCTCCCTTAATAAGCACTACCCCCTAGCCCTCGCCACCGAGAAGAGGGGGTTCGGGTGTCGCCCTCGACGTTTTTTTTTAAGGTAATTGCTCGGAAGGCGCTGGTATAGAGATGAAAGCTGGCGCACTTGAACATTAAAGACGGATCTTCACACCGACCACATTATTAGGTCAGGTCAGGTTACTGACTTGGGACGTCGTAAGTGAACCTCTGCACGGCCCTAAAATGTCGCAATTTAGTCCGAAATGGCGAGGGGCGGGGAGGGCAGAGTCCATCTACCCTCCCCCTAAACAGCATCTGATGAAGAAAACCGATAGGTTCGGCGAGAATTAAAAATGCCCTAATTATTGCCGAGTCTAGGCAGTACCATGCCCACGATCACGACACCCATCTGTTCATATGCCCATCGGTGAATAGCGCGTGTCAGCCTGTGTCCGGCTGTTATTGCCTGCGGTTACAGGTGCGTCATCAACGTAACAAAGAAGTACGACGCTTGTGATATCTATCCTGAAGCACCATGAAATGTGACATCCGTAAAATGTACAGTAGAATAGTTAGTCATTGCCCATGTAGAACACATTTATGGTGAGTGGTGACATTTATTTCCAGATAACAAATTTAACGAGAAGGATAAGGCTATGGCCACTGGCCAGTAGCCTTATCCGCATGGCCACATGCGAACAAAACATCGTCACACAACGAATCAATGCCAAAAATCAAAGGCTGTTTACAAATATCTACAAATAAATCACGCCTCACATGTGTTAAATTGTTATATAACGAGCTGTGCGATGTGCAGTATCAGTGCCAGCAGTGTGGCCAGTGAAGCATCAGGTTCACTGGCCACACTGCAGCGCTCGTCTGCGACGAGCGCCAGGCCTCCTGCTGGCAGGCCAGCGAGACGGGTTCCGAACCTCAGGGACCACAGCCCGGGTCGTCGAAACCATCAGGCAGGGCGAGGATGGAAGATGAGCGAGCATATCGGCGCGATAGGCTTCAGTCAATTGCTGAGTGGGACCGAGGGCGTCCGTCCGTTGAAGACAGGTGGTCGACGGACTGCAAACAGCGTGCGGCGGTCTTCTCAAGGCTGTCCGATGGGCCGCTGGCCCTAAGCAGCGATAAATCACCTGCCAAGAAAACAAGGGATCAGAAAATTAACTCCCTCCTTTTAAGTCCAAAATGCTTATTGCTCAAGCACCTCAGGGTCAGATCCTCAGAGGAAGCAGTAATAGAGGCCTTCAGCAACCTCACCAAGCTATTCAGAGTGATAACAGGATGATGCTTCAGGTCTGAAGACTTTACCGGACAGCTGGCGGAAGGCATTTTCCAGCAAATGGTCAAAGACCTGCAGTAAATGTTCTCATGAGCATGTGCCATATTTTTGTTTGGATTGATGAGAACTGTTTATTTATCATTCCATATGCAAACCAGTCCGTGCAAGGTTCTGAACAACTTTTTATGATTTCATCATTAGAAATCAACTTGAATATTAAAAATTGTGGCACATAAGTAGGCTTTCAAGCTTCACGGTCCGGGATACACATCACCAACAATCACCACATGTACGAGTGCTATGAATTCAGTGCCTTCTTGGGAATATTTTCCTATATTTAAGATAAAATTACATGGATAGGTATGCCAAGATAAAACACAAGGCAATAACAATAATTTGAAGGAAGAAACAGCAAAAGTATCACCACACAGTACCTACTTATAATAAATAATCATGTGAACATAAATTGGGAAATAAAATGACAATATTGAGTGGCCAAGTATTTTAATCCTTACAAACTTCAGGGGACAGCAAATCTAATGAAGCAAAATATTGCATTTTAGCACACATATTCTGACACAATCAAACACTAAATTGAAATGCTCATCTATGAAGTAGGTATTCCAAAACAAAAACAAAAACAAAAACGCAGGTAAAATCGTTTACAAATAGAAAATGAACGTTCTATGCCTGTCGCCTATGGCTGAACAAATAAACAGCATATAAAATTAAATAACACTAAAAATAAATTTTCAAAACCGAATATAATCACCCTATGTGAAACAATAAACACACAAAACAGTGCGGAGAGCATTTGTTGATGTGCGCCACCAATGTCAGTACAGCATCATATATGTCTCTTTCACGTAGCACGTAGCTTGCAGTGATGACGTCATGTCCCGTGACGTAAATCGACCGCCGACGTCATAAGTCTGCTGATAAATAAACGGGGTGCGAACAGAGCTCTGAAGATCGAGATGACAAAAAAAGGTACGGTCGTCAAGTTAGATGTAAGTGAATCCTAATCTATAATCTAAGATTCGGAATCAGGTGAGCCCCTACGATTTGGACCAAACTTGGTCAGTGGATAGTACGTAACGTCCTGATTACGATGCACCCAAAATCTAAGCTCGGCCCGCCATATTTACGAAGTTACGGATGTTTGAATTTCAAGGTCATTCGGGAGAGCCCCTACGATTTCCGTCAAAATTTGTGTACGGACACTCTAGATGCTCCTCATTACGAATATCACAAAATTCAAGCTCGGCCCGCCATATTTACGAAGTTACGGAGGTTTGAATTTCAAGGTCATTTGGGTGAGCCCCTGCGATTTCCGTCAAAATTGGTATACGGACATATTACATCCTCCTCATTACAAATATCATAAAAGTTTAGCTCGGCCCGCCATATTTTTCAAGTTACGGAGTCACAAAGTTACGGAATTTCAAGGTCATTCGGAGAGCCCCTCCGATTTTCGTCAAAATTTGTGTGCGGACACATTACATGCTCCTAATTACGAATATCATAAAAATTAGGCTCGGCCCGCACTATTTCAAAAGTTACTGAGGTTTGAATTTCAGTGAGTTTCAAACCTCATTAACTTTTGAAATAGTGCGGGCCGAGCTTAGCTTTTACGATATTCGTAATGAGGAGCATGTAATGTGTCCGCATACAAATTTTGACGAAAATCGGAGGGGCTCTCCGAATGACCTTGAAATTCCGTAACTTTGTGACTCCGTAACTTGAAAAATATGGCGGGCCGAGCTTAACTTTTATGATATTTGTAATGAGGAGGATGTAATATGTCCGTATACCAATTTTGACGGAAATCGCAGGGGCTCACCCAAATGACCTTGAAATTCAAACCTCCGTAACTTCGTAAATATGGCGGGCCGAGCTTAAATTTTGTGATATTCGTAATGACGAGCATCTAGAGTGTCCGTACACAAATTTTGACGGAAATCGTAGGGGCTCTCCCGAATGACCTTGAAATTCAAACATCCGTAACTTCGTAAATATGGCGGGCCGAGCTTAGATTTTGGGTGCATCGTAATCAGGACGTTACGTACTATCCACTGACCAAGTTTGGTCCAAATCGTAGGGGCTCACCTGATTCCGAATCTTAGATTATAGATTAGGATTCACTTACATCTAACTTGACGACCGTAAAAAAGGTAATCAATTGGAGCGAATTCCGCAAAAGCGGCTTGACCGTCGCATCAAACAAAAAAAAGAACTATTTTGATTTTGATTTCTAACAAAAGGCTTTTAACTTGCCCACTAATAAACCACCCAGTAGGATACACCTAAATTCATTCATATAAGCGACCTAACATCCAATATATTTTTCCTGATTCCAGGACAAATCTTCGTATGGCATTTCTTCGTCGCGCAATTCTTCGTCCGCATTTCTTCGTCCGCAAATCTTCGTCGGCGCATTTATTCGTGTCGCATTATTTCGTCTCGCATTTCTTCGTAAGCGCAAATATTCGTAGCGCATTTCTTCGTTTCCGCATTTCTTCGTCGGCGCATTTCTTCGTCAAGCATTTTTTCGTCCACGCATTTCTTCGTCTACGCAAATCTTCGTCCGCATTTCTTCGTCCACGCAAATCTTCGTCTGCGCATATCTTCGTCCGCAAATCTTCGTCCCCGCAAATCTTCGTCCGCAAATCTTCGTCCGCATTTTTTCGTCCACGCATTTCTTCGTCTACGCAAATCTTCGTCCGCATTTCTTCGTCCACGCAAATCTTCGTCCCGGCAAATCTTCGTCCGCAAATCTTCGTCCACGCAAATCTTCGTCCCGGCAAATCTTCGTCCGCAAATCTTCGTCCGCATTTTTCGTCCACACATTTCTTCGTCCACGCAAATCTTCGTCCGCAAATCTTTGTCTGCGCATATTTTCGTCCGCAAACCTTTGTCTGCGCTATCTTCGTCTCCGCAAACATTCGTCCACAAATGTGGTTCAATAAAACCATGAAGAAATATCAGACCATTGCAAGTGAATGACGAATTTAATGCATGGAATGGATGATCGAAACTTTTGAAGTCAGGTAGATGAGGTCATGACCACCTGACTGCAGTCAGGTGAAGCTATTGTATTTGGGAGCCGACAATTGTAACATTCCATATCATTTGTGTCCCGGACATTCTTTTTTTCGCGGTCGATGAATGACAATATAATCTCTTGTACCCTCGCCGGCAGGGCTGCGGAGTCGGAGTCGGAGTCGGTCGGAGTCGACAGTTGTGACCGGAGTCGGAGTCGGAGTCGGAGTCGATTTTAGAAACCCGAGCCGGAGTCGGAGTCGGAGTCACCGAAAATCTGTCGACTCCGCAGCCCTGCTAGGTCTGCGGAGTCGGAGTCGGGAGTTGGAGTCGGTCGGAGTCGACAATTCTGCCCGGAGTCGGAGTCGGAGTCGGAACTGGTTTTTGAAAGCCGGAGTCGGAGTCGGAGTCGCCGAAAATCCATCGACTCCGCAGCCCTGCTCGCCGGCATAGGCGGCGGAACGGGGAGGGCACCGGGGCACCGTTCCCCTCTTTAATTTTGGCCTTTTAACAGTAGCCCTATGGTCGTTGCATGGAAAGAATGGGGCTAAAAGTCGGCAGTGCCGTGCCCCCCCCCCCTAATTGAAAGTGTTCCGCCGCTACTGCTCGCCGGACCTATTTGTTTTCTACATACACGCCGGCCGAGGGGGGGCGGGTACGACCCCCCCCCCCCCCATCGCCGTTTCGCCACTGGTGGAGCTAGCGCGTCGCGGAAAAAACGAGCGTGTGCGCCGTTACGAGACGCAGAGATTAATACCCGATTTTAAGGCCTTCTAGGTCAGGGGTCGGCTTACGGCCCGCGGGCCGGATCCGGCCAGGTGGGTGACGGTTGGATCCGGCCCGCGACCATCTGACGTCCGGCCCGCGGCTGGTATCAGCGACTTACATCGTGTTCCGGCCCGCGGTTCTTTCAGAAATCGACTCCGATATAAAAGTGACTTAAATGTGCTTTGGCACAATAGTTCTTCCTTCGCACACTTCATGAGTTTATAAACACCATTTGCGGGTTGGGTTCATGTGGTGACCCTTGGTGACCTGACCTGCGACCTGACTGGTATGACCAGTGACCTCTAATAGCAACATATGTACTAGATAACTGACGCCCTATCGCTGATTTTCGACAAAATGCGCTTTACTCGGTGTTATAGCGCTTTCCCTAGAAGACCCGTGAACGGTGAAACATGTTATCTTTGACCTGACCTGTGACGTCATCGGTGACCCCGAGGTCAATGAAATTTAGCTTCCTTCCACAAATTTGACAGGGCTATCGAACGCCGTTTGAATTTTCCGGATCCGTCCAGTAGTTTTGGAGATACGGGGGGGGGGGGGGGCAAAAAAATGCCCCCCCCCCCACCGCCTGGAAGGTTAAACGAGTTGGTAGAACACGTGAAGCCGCCAAGTGCACGCAGCCAGCAGTCGTTGATGCTGCGCGCAAAAGCTGCTGACCAACCAAGTTTTGTCTTTAAGTAGCATTAGACAAAAACACCCGCAAATGGTGTTTATAAACTCATGAAGTGTGCGAAGGAAGAACTAGGTATTGTGCCAAAGGTCATTTCAGTCACTTTTATATCGGAGTCGATTTCTGAAAGAACCGCGGGCCGGAAAACGATGTAAGTCGCTGATACCAGCCGCGGGCCGGACGTCAGATGGTCGCGGGCCGGATCCAACCGTCATCCACCTGGCCGGATCCGGCCCGCGGGCGGTATGTCGACCCCTGACCTAGAAGGCCTTAAAATCGGGTATTAATCTCTGCTTCTCGTAACGGCGCACACGCTCGTTTTTTCCGCGACGCGCTAGCTCCACCAGTGGCGAAACGGCGATGGGAGGGGGGGGGGTCGTACCCGCCCCCTCGGCCGGCCTGTACCTATGTAGAAAACAAATAGGTCCGGCGAGCAGTAGCGGCGGAACACCTTCAATTAAGGGGGGGGGGGCACGGCACTGCCGACTTTTGGTCCCATTCTTTCCATGCAACGCCCATATGGCTACTGTTAAAAGGCCAAAATTAAAGAGGGGAACGGTGCCCCGGTGCCCTCCCCGTTCCGCCGCCTATGCCGGCGAGGGCACAAGAGATTATATTGTCATTCAACGACCGCGAAAAAAAGAATGTCCGGGACACAAATGATATGGAATGTTACAATTGTCGGCTCCCACAATAGCTTCACCTGACTGAGTGATCTCATCTGCCATGACTTTAAAAGTTTCGATCATCCATTCCATGCATTAAATTCGTCATTCACTTAAGATGGTCTGATATTTCTTCATGGTTTTATTCAACCACATTTGTGGACGAATGTTTGCGGAGACGAAGATAGCGCAGACAAAGATTTGCGGACGAAGATTTGCGTGGACGAAGAAATGCGTGGACGAGAAATGCGGACGAAGATTTGCGGACGAAGATTTGCGGACGAAGATTTGCGGACGAAGATTTGCGGACGAAGATTTGCCGGGACGAAGATTTGCGTGGACGAAGAAATGCGGACGAAGATTTGCGTAGACGAAGAAATGCGTTGACGAAAAAATGCGGACGAAGATTTGCGGACGAAGATTTGCGGGGACGAAGATTTGCGGACGAAGATATGCGCAGACGAAGATTTGCGTGGACGAAGAAATGCGGACGAAGATTTGCGTAGACGAAGAAATGCGTGGACGAAAAAATGCTTGACGAAGAAATGCGC